AAAAAAAACACCGTCCTCATCGGTTATTCTTACTGAGGCGTCACAGTTTCAACAAATTACAATGAAAAGCACTCCAGGGGCAGGTGTTACCCGCGTCCCACATGGGAGCACGGGCGTTTGGAACTTCGTTCAGGCGCCACATTAGCTTCCTGATGATGGTGACCCTGGAGGCGGCAGTGATAGTCCAAGTGACGGGCTGGCACCCACTGGGAGACCTGGATCGAGCTCCCTTCCTGGCCGTAGTGGGCGTTCGGGGAGGGAACCCGGTGCGCTCTGCCTTTCACATCACAGGTTTTAAAGGGTATTGAGAAACAAAAACATTTATGTGCACGGGAGAGGAGCCTACATTCACACATTGGCTGCATATTGCATTCTCGCCGGCGAGAGGTGTTCGCGCTCACTTTCGAATATGCAAAAACATCAGGGTCTAGACGGTAGCTTCTCCGACCGAGTTACTCAAGGAAGGTAAAGCCAGTTCCATAACAAGTCTTTCTTGTGCCGGTTAAGGAAGGGATCAAGGAAGGCGGTTACACAGCCAGTCTCGGGGAGAGCTGTCTGCCGAGTCTGCAGAAATGCAGATTCCCCGCCCCGCCACAGCCCTACAAAACTGCCGTTGGAATTCAGGGTGGAGCTCGGGGTGCATTCGGAACACGCTCCCCAGAAACCAACCGCGGTCGCGCAACCTACACGACCACCTAACTGAAAAGCAAGACTAGCGTCTTTACTTTGGTATATATTGGTAAAGGCTCCTTCGGCCCGAAGGGGACATTCTGCAGCTCCCAGGCCTCGCCGCCCAATGCGTGTAGGGCTGCCGCAGAGAGGCGCCCCCGAGGTTGCGGAGACACGCGAGGAGCCCCTTTCTCGGGAGGCTAAAGAACGCTGGGGTCCGGGCCCCATAGCAGCCGGGCAAAGAATCTCGTTCCAGGGGTCTTGAGGCTTCGCCTAGACTACGCGCCGCGCGCCCGCCCAGGGTCTGCCCCGCGGCCTCCGTGCAGCCCCAGCCGCGCCACAGCAGAAGAAAGGCCCGCCGGGCTGTCACGGCCGCCGCGCGTGCGCAGCGAGGGCCCGAGCGCGCAGCGAGGTCCGTTTCCTGACTTCTGGAGGAAGTGGCCGTGCGCACTTCCGGCCTCCCTCTAGCTGCCATCTTGCGTCCCCGCGTGTGTGCGCTTAATCTCAGCTGGTCTGCCCGAGACCCCCTGAGCGCCAACCCTAGTCCCCCGCGCGGCCCCATTTCCGCTCGGACAAGGTACAAAAAGGCTCTAGACGCCGGCGTGGGAGGAGGACGGGATCGGGGGCGGGAAGTTCCCGGAAGGAGCGAAAACAGGGAGGGACAGGGCTGAGAGGAAGGCGATGCGACGGACAGGCGCACCCGCTCAGGCTGACTCTCGGGGGCGAGGTCGAGCCAGGGGCGGCTGCCCTGGGGGCGAGGCGACGCCGTCTCTTCCTCCACCTCGCGGCGGAACCCGAGGACAGGAGCCTCAGGTACCGCGAGGCTTGCGGAGAGTGGCTGGGCCGGGCAGGCCCTGGCTAGGCCGAGGCCAGGCCAGGGCCGAGGGTGGGGGGTAAGGGGTGGGGGTGCTGGCCAGGCGCGGGTGGGAGCCCTTGTTCTGGGCTGCGAGAGCGGGAGTTGTGGGGGAGGGGTGGAGAGGGGACTGCTCTCTGGGCTCCCGCAAAACTGAAATGGAGAGCTTTGCGGGGTGGGCTTGGGATCCAGGCCTCGGCCTGTGTGGGGCGTTTATTGTCCTGCTGCTCTCTCGGGAAAATGAGGAGGGAGGAACCAGGCCTTTTGCTTGCTGAGGGATTTCCCCTTTTTCTAGATGAAAGAAACTATCATGAACCAGGAAAAACTCGCCAAACTGCAGGCACAAGTGCGCATTGGTGGGAAAGTAAGTTTCATTCCTTTTGCATTTTTGGATTGTTGGTTTGTGTGCCTGCCAAGATCGCGGAGCTGGCGGATCCGGGAGGAGGCAGGAGGTGTATTAAAATAGATGAGAAAGAGGAGCTCCTAGCCCCCTTGCTTTCATGTCTATGTGTTTCCAGTGTTACAGTGTATTAAGTAGGACAGAATGTTTCCTAAAAATGTGTCATTTCAGTTAGATCACTGTTGTGTCGTCATAGCCCCGAGTTGCTTTGGCTTAAGTTGTATGGAGTCAGTGTTTGATGTGTGTGTGTGTGTGTGTGTGTGTGTTTAATCCTAAACTTACTCTGAATTTGCTGATGAGTTTCTCCTGTTAGACATACTAGTTAGAAGTTGGTGTCTCTTGGAAATTGCAGCGTTTTCTGTACTACGTGCCATTCAGGGCAGTTGTGTGCCTTCAAGACTGAACAGAATCTTTGCTAGAGGTACCTTCTGGAGTTTAAGTGCAGTGACTTAAGAGTGGGAAGTGTTACCTGGCTAATCTCTTTTCTTTTTTGATTTTCAGTTACGCTAAAACTGAGGGAATGAAATTGACTGACTGAATTTAAAATATGTCCCCCCCTCCCACCGCCGTGAATACTGATCTTTTTCAAGGGAATTCTCTTCTGAACTCAGCTGTTAGGTTGTTCTTCTAAGTAATTTACTGAAGTCAGATGGATGTCTACCTCATTGTGCTTTGTATTGTGTTGGCACATTCCTAGTATTTAATAAGGTGTGGTAGCCTGTTGTACCAGAGCCTGTCTTTACTTGGTAAAGCTTGCCCAGACTGCGGCTTTATCACCTATTAGTTTTTCCCGGCTTCAAGCATTTACTTTCAAGTTACTGTGGAGTCTGCTGTGAGATGGCCAGAGGTTGTACTTAAATAACGAGCTGCAGCCCTGTTAAACTACTGGACGTGGCCAGCAGTGAGTGTGCCGCCTCGTGTGTGGATGCTGACACTGGGAGTCTTCAGGACCCACACCTGCACATTAACGACAGTGGATGGTTCCTGTCATCCTAAAGCTTGCACACCTTAGCCCTCAAGGGCCAGAACAATCGTCATATTCTTTGTGGACTGTCGTTGGACGCTCTTACGTGTGGTGTTTAGGCCACTATTCTTTTTCCATTTCAGGAGTGGTTTGTAGAGTGCCTGGTACAGTCTTCTATTGTTACTTCTTCTTGAGAGAGGCATCACTAGTGTAAATGAGAGTCAGGGTTTTGTTGGATGTTCAAGGTTGCTATGAGATTCAGCCGTGTATCCTAACATCTTAATAGTTTGCTTAGCTAAGACAGGAAGTTAGGCCTGTAGAATTTGTAATACGAAATCATTTTCTATGCCTTTTAATGGCTGTGAAGTTAGTGAGGTACTTTTGCCTAGGGAACTCTGTGTTATTGAAGGTTAACATATTATAAAAGCCCTTTATTTCAACATCTAATCAAAACCTGGATAATAATTACTTAAGTTGAAGACAGACTCCACATTTGTGTGGTGTCATGGGACTCTGTCAGAGGTATGCTATTTTCTTACAGAAGTCAGAAGTTCTTTGGAAACCATGTGTCTGCATGAAACTTCAAGGGGATTTTTTGCTCTTAAAAATTAGGGGGGGGGGTGTTGGTAGTCAATGTATATACTTTTTTTTAAATGTAATATTTTCTTCATCTAAATCCTTTATTTATTCAAGCCTTTAATATTTTGGATCCTAAGAATAAAATTTAAATTAAGTCCCATTGGGAGTTTTTGAGCCTGGTGGTAGTGACAGGAATCTTTTCAGAAAGTGTTTTCACAGTGTTATATACCTAATAAAATAAAAGCATTTTCAAATGCAGAGAGGTGGGAATGATTTGGCATTGGGGGAGTAGTTTGCAGTTTGGAGAGAGGCACGGGAGAGGAATGGCTTGAACAGGATTTTAAGGGTTGAGTGGGAACTGTGTGGGAGGCAGAGGGACAGTGAGGTAGTCGTGTGCAAGTATTATCCTAGAGGGGCTTTGCATGCGCCAGCTACTAGAAGCTTTCCAGGAGCTGTTACATTTAGTGGAAGGTTCAGATGATAAAATGTGCTTGTCTCTTGCAGCAATAAATGCTAGGATAGAAAAGGATAAGTGAGTGGGAGTTGCTCTTTTATATTGGGTGGTTGAAAAAGGCCATTGTGATATGGTGACAGCAAAGCAGAGGTCTGTAATGAGGGAGGGAGCCAGGCAGAAGTTGGAGGAAGCGAGGAGTCACGCTGTAGGGCTCTGACCCTAGGGGCCTGTCATGCCCTAGCGTCAGAGCCTGCTGGCGGTTTGTTTTGTGTTTTGGCTGGAGACAGCTCAGAACAGGCTCCAGAACCGAACAATAGAGGTAGGCAGAGCAGGGTTAAGAATTTCAGATTTACTCCTGGGTGCTGTGGAAGGTCTGTGTGCAGATGAATTTGGTTCTTTCATAGACTATCATGGCGTAGGAATATTAATTTGGATGTTGAGTTTTCTTTCATGTCCAACAGAAGATGTTGATAATCCTGGATGTGGAGCTTCGCTAAATTTAGGTCGACACATGCCACGCCTTTGATCACTTTTAGAGTAGATAATGTAAAGTAGGACTTTGGAAATACCTGCTTTTACTGTCTGAGAAGCGAGAGGCTCAGCAGTTAGAAGGGCTGCGTAGACAAGTGCTGTCTGGGCTTTGGCTTCAGTCTTTGCGTAGCTTATCTATTTGCTGCATACGTTTGTATTTATGGTAATGTTCCTATACGGAGCCAAAGGTTAGAAGGGGATTAGCAACTGTTTCTATTTGAAAATGTCTGCTATAATGCGCTGTGTGTGTTACATAAATGTGCTGTCGGCTCCTTTTCTCCCCACTTTAGGGAACTGCTCGCAGAAAGAAGAAGGTGGTTCACAGAACAGCAACAGCAGATGATAAAAAACTTCAGTTCTCCCTAAAGAAATTAGGGGTAAACAATATCTCTGGTATTGAAGAGGTAAGTGTCAGATTGTGCTGTGTTAAAAATAAGATTTGGCCAGAAAAGGTTAAAATTTTAATGCATTAAATTATTTTTTTTTACTCTACTTGCAGCAGAGAATTTTGTATCCTGCTAGCCTGTACAGTTTCTAAGGCATGCTTATTCCCTATTAATGAATACCAGGGAGGTTGCTAAGATTGAAAGCTATTAGATTGCACATTCCATTCTGTGCCAAGTGTCACCTTTGCTTCACTTTTCATTTAATAAAATATATTTGTGGGCATTGCTAATTTTGTTTTGTTTTGTTTTCTTCGTTAGGTGAATATGTTTACAAACCAAGGAACAGTGATCCACTTTAACAACCCTAAAGTTCAGGCTTCTCTGGCTGCAAACACCTTCACCATTACAGGCCACGCTGAGACAAAGCAGCTGACAGAAATGCTCCCCAGCATCTTGAACCAGCTTGGCGCAGACAGCCTGACTAGCTTGAGGAGGCTGGCCGAAGCGCTGCCCAAACAATGTGAGTCTCTGGGTAGCGCTCTTCCTCGGGGCTACTTCCGTAGCAGCAGATTTTTGCCGTCTTCTGACTTCACATGAATGTGAATGAATTGATTGAGTTTTGGAAATGAACACTTTAAAAAATAAATGTTTAACATTTTAAGCATGTTTACAGTAATTATCTGACTTGCTATGACCATTATACTTCAGTTAGTGAGATGTTTGTTTTCTATTAGCTGCTTGCTTTAACCAGAGACTATATATTTTTTTCTTTATTAGCTGGAAATGAAAATGTTAATTTGGGGGCAGCTACTTTCAGGTTAGGGTTTATTAAGAACATTAATTGGGGAGTGCAGTTAAGATGCTGGTAGGGAGCCCGGATGCCGGTACCCCATGTTCGTGTGCTTGGGTTCATCTCTGGGTGCCAGCTGCTGAGTCCAGCACCATGCTGAAGTGGACCCTGGGAGGTGGCAGTGGTAGCTGAAGTGGCTGGGTTCCTGACACCCATGTTGAGTTTCTGGCTTTGCCTTTGTGCCACCACCCCTCCCCCCAGCCTTTTTGGGCATATGGGGAATAAACCAAAAGAAGGGGGGGAATGGTCTCTCTGTCCTTCAAATAAAAATTTTTTTTTCTAAATATTTTACTTAGCATTTCCATTTCCTCAAACATTATCACTCCTATGTGTCGGAAGCCTTTAGGCCCCTCTTTGCTAGTTATTTTGAAATACATAATAAACTGCTATAGCCTGTATTACTGTACTGTGTTGAATAAGTCTTCCTGTCATCTATCAAATTACTCCTTTACTGTACCCAGTAAATATGTATTGGTGCGTAAATTAAAATTTTTCAATTTAGAAAATACATACCATTGTAAATTCTTAGTCTTCAGCTGTTTCTGTAAAATTTGTATTGCCAGTGATCTTTAGGAAATGGCCCACCAATATTTTGATGTTTAATTACCATGCGTTAGGGATTTGTTCAAAGCAAATACTAGCATAGTTAAGTAAGTGTGCATCAAGGGATGTAACAGCTTCATACTGATCCATTTTTGCTTAAAATTTTGAATGCAGAATCAAGTCAAGAGTCTTATTTCTATGGCTTATTACCTAATTATTCATGTTTTTTCCGGTGTTGAGTCACTCTACCTCAGTTTAGATTTTAAAAGTGAGAGGCATGAGAGAGTCTGGTCCATCTTTGACAAGTGAAGCAGGCTTTTGAAGTTTCCCTCCGAGACCTGTAAAGGCCTAGCACTGAGGCCTCAGTAGCTCCCCTGTGGCTCTCAGTTTTTGTGTGGTAAAAGAAAGTGGATGCTCACAGACACTTAATTTATCATTTTATTTCACTTCCATAAATGTTTGTTGCCTCCTATGCCATGCACAGACAGCAGTATTTGAGAAAATGGCCCTTTTGTTTGCTCCCCGAACCACATGTGGTATGTGGGCTGTCCCTCCCCTGAGGACTCCCTACTGCTTCTCACTACCTCAGCCTCTGGTGGGCAGAGGGTTTGTTGCCTGTTACTGGTATTCTAGCCCATTTGTAGACATCAGAATATGGTGTTATTGATAGTACTGTAGATGAAATCGCAGACGTCATTCATCTCATGGATTCTGTTGCTTAATGGTTATTGAAGACTTAGATCTGTAAGTAACATTTATATTTCCTCATTCTTAGCTGTGGATGGAAAAGCACCACTTGCTACTGGAGAGGACGATGATGATGAAGTTCCAGGTAGGAACCTTCACTTGCGGTTAACCTGAAGAATCTTAGCAAAAAATTATCCTGGGAAAGGAATGAATTCAGGGGTAGGGGATGGGGAGACATGGCCTCTCCTTAAAATGAGGAAACAGTAGTGATATGTAACTAGGAGTTAGTTGATTAAATACTGAGTAAGTAAGTACGTATATTGTCATCTGAAGCAACTTACCTGCAGATCACGACTGCCCCTCTTCCTACTTTGAAACCCATGTTTATGAGAAACTTAGAGAAGTTTAAGTATTTTGAGCTATAAAAGCAGTGGCAAAATAACTGCTCTGGCAGCCTTGAGACTTTTTCTGTCATCTCTGATACTGGGTAATTTACTTGTAAAATATTTATTGGGAAGAAGAATCACTAGATTCAAAAATATTCCCCATGTGTGTCAAAGTATCCTTAGGAACCTGAGAAAACTTCAGAATCACGTGTCTCGTGGTGTTCTTGGGCTCTGCTCCCCCTGGTTGACCAGCATCTTGCATTGTTTAGTTAGATTCTTGTAGACTGGAGTGGGGAGGGTACATGGGTACTCTCTGAGCACAGTATGTACATCACTATCCCATTCGTGGCTTTGCCTTGTAGTGATTTTACACCAAACATGCACTATGTATCCAGTGAGCCATCTCACTGAAAATAAAGACACCTGTTTGAATTTGAGAGGGTTCCTCCTTTTCTGGTAAATTTTATAATTTGTAGGTTTGACTTTTTCAGAATTTCTACTCTTTTCCTTTTTCTAGATCTTGTGGAGAATTTTGATGAGGCTTCCAAGAATGAGGCAAACTGAATGGGGTCAACTTCTGAAGAAAGTAAAACTTGAAGAAGTTACTGGGAGCTGCTGTTTTATATTATGACTGCTTTTTAAAATCGTTTTGTTTATGATCTGATAAATCTAGATCTCTAATATTTTTAAGCTCAAGCCCCTTGGACAGTGCAGCTCTTTTCAGTTTTTGCTTATACACACTTCATTCTTTGCGGCTAATTAAGCTGAAGAAGCCTGGGAATAAAGTTTGAAACAAAGGTTAATAAATTTCTTTGCCTAGTATGTGGTTTTATTTCTTTATTTCATTGAAACTGATTTGTGCCCAGTAAGAAAAGTTTTTTTTTTTTTTTTTTCTTTAGAAAGTTCATGGCATCAGATTAAAGGTGTAAAGTCAGTATGTAGTGCTGTGGTGTCACAAAGGTAGTATCATTCTCATGTTGGGAAACTGCAGCCCTCAGGGCCCCCATGGTTATGTCGTGGGTGTACATGCAAATGAGAACAGGATTCCCTAGTAGGTAAGCCAGAGCCTTTTTTTCTTGATAATACTTTTTAAAATTATAATCATAAGTTAGGGGCCTGTGTATTATTCCTCTCAGGTTTATTTCATTCTCAATTTATGAAGTAGGGACTAGTAGTTTGTTTTGTAGGTGTGACATGAAGTTCAGTTTTCAAAACAGTGAAAGTAGTTCATCTCCAAATCTCCTTTCATAGGATATCTAAAAGGATTTGGAAAAAAAGTAGCATTTGTACTAGGAATGTCTTCAGGCCACTTTGTCTTTTTCTTAAAATGACCAGGGCGGCTCTTTTCTTTTTTAATGTTAACATACAATAAAATTGAATATGTGTGTGCGCAGTTGTAAGAATTTTAATTGTTCAACTGCCACCATAGGATACTAAACAGTTCCATCACCCCAGAAAACTTCCTCAACATAGGTCTACTTCTAAAAAATTGTTATTAACAGTCATGTTTTAGCAGCTAAAACTTAAGATTTTTCCAAATAGTAATTAAAATAATTATATGTAATCCACATCCAGGTCAAGGATTTATGTTTTCATTGCAATTTGTAAGTACCTTTTAAAGATACCATAGTACATCTAAAAGTCTTGTAGTGGTTTAATTAACTATACCAAACCAACTGAGGTTCTGTGGAAACAGTACTTGCACCCTTTTACATTGTGTCATTTTTCTCCAAAGGATGTGTGGCTTCCTGTTACCGTGGACTGCTACAGTAACAATGACCCTTTACAGAACTACAAGAAAGTAGGTGTTTCCTGACACCTCTGGGTCAGGTTGGGCTCTGCTGTATGCATCCTCTGGGTCCCAAGTTCCTGGCCAGCCCCTAGCTGGGCCACTCTTCTCTGCCTTCCTGCCAGAGAGCATGGTGGAATAAAGCTATTCTCACAAACCCATTGGCCTAGAACTGACCACAGCAGCTAAGATGGAGGGCTGAGCAGCTGAGCCTGTGAGGTTGCCTTCTGCTAAGCTCCCAAGTGCTGCTGGGTGTGATAATTTTCCTTTTTATTTCCCTAATTTTTTTCACTGTGTGAAGAAATCAGAGAGGCAGAGAGCTCCCATCTGCTGGTTCACTCCCCAGATACCCACAGCAGCTAGGCCTGGGCCAGCCAGGCTAAAGTCAGTAACCCAGAAGTCAATCCGAGTTTCCCAGGTGGGTGTCAGGGAGGGGCCTGCTGCCTCTTAAGGTGCACACGGGCAGGAAGCTGGAATTGGAATGGCAGCTGGGACTGGAACCCAGGTGCTTCAGTGTGGTATGCAGGTACAGCAAGCAGCATCTTAATGACTATGCCAAATACCTGCCCTGTGGCCATGCATTGAGTAGCATGATTGGAAATACTCCCAGTTCATCCTGAGACACTGGGATGCCAGACAGACCAGCAAGCTTGTGGGAAAATGTCACTATCTGAATCTCTTTCCAGTTTGGGCTAAACAGTAGGGAGAGACTAAATAAAGAAGAGCAGTGGGTTTCCGGGCCAGGCCTATCCCAGGGCAACCTGCTTATGGGACGGAAGCTGGCTGAGGTTAAGCCTGTTAACACCCACACTCAGAGCTCTGTTCTAAAGTGCATTGTTTAAATGATTATGTGGGTGGCTATAGGTTATTAGGACAGGATGCTTTTGTAATCTCTTCAATGTCAGGGTAGGTAGGCTGGCTTATGCTGCTGTTACAAGTGACCAAAGTAATTGAGCTGCTGCAAAGGCTTCTCACACTTGATGTTTAGTTTGTGGCTGGGCTCCACTGTGCTCCAAGAGCAGCCTCTAATTAGAACATCGCCGCGGAAAGATGGTGAACAGCCAGCTGGCGCCTCCAACTCAGGCTGGGAAGTGATGCACATCATTAATGATCAGATTTCATCAGCCGGAACAATTCAGATAGGCGAGTCGGATGGCAGGGGGTTGAGGAAGATGACACTTCTCATCTAATCCTCCTGTGCAGGGTAGCAGGTCTATTCCAACAATAATACAATCTATCACGTTCTTTTGCTTTGTCTTATTATAATCCCCCAAAAGATCCACACTACAGATGAAGCCATCTTGAAGTGAAACTTCGTGTCTTGAGATCACACAGCCCCACGAGTGGCAGAATGAGATTGAAAACCAGTTCTGCTCTGCGGAGCTCACCATCTGCTGGGTGGAACGGTAGGCGCGGGCCAGCTAGAGGCAGGTGATTCTGTTGTGGTTGATAATTACCGGCTATTTACTATCAAGACGAGCTCGGAATCAAACCAGTTTTCAGCTGGATCTGAAGCGGAGCCAAGCTAAGGAAGGAAGAGACATCTATTTCGATCTGAGAACTCTTAGGATAAAGATCCTTTATTTGTAGAAACAATGAGTGCCCGTTGTCATCCCCATAGTAACCCTGTGTTGCACAGGGCACAAAGTTGCATGTGCCTTGGGAAACAGACTTAGAAATGGACTGAAGCTTGAGTCTGATCTCTATGTGTCATTTTTTCCCCCCATAAACATTGGATTGTGCTCTTGTAGCTCTGCCCTGGCCCCAGCCCCTAGAAGGATATTTGTGTAGATAGACTCGTATGTCACTTTTTTCCAGAGAAGCCTGAAGGCATCTGATAACCGGTTTCAGTTTTTCCAGAACAATGATTACCAAAGTTCTCTATTCACAGAACTTTTCATCACTCCAATCAGCACAGTCTTGAAGGCCATCTTTGCAGCGGGTTCTGGGAATGCAGTCGCAGTCGGCAAAGGAAACAGCCTCACATCTCCAGCCTGGACACGTAGGGCACTGGAAAACTAGATGATTTTATTTGTTTTTATAATCAGAGCTGTTAAAATGTCAGGGTGGAAATAGTTCTTTGGATCTTAAAAAATATCCCAAAATGCTCAGAGGGAAAACTGCAGATGTTTGTGAAAGATTCTAGATATTTGGGTGAAGGAATTTGTACTTGGAAAAGCCAACGCGAGTACCCCAGCAGCCTGCAGATAAACACACTAAGTGACATAAACGGGGGGTGGGGGGGGAGATCAGCTAAGGATCCCTTCGCGCATAGAGCCTTCGTTGTCAAAGCACTCACTGCTGAATGCGATGGGAGGAAGCACTTCTGTCGTCACCCTCAGAGGGAGGAAGTGATCTATGGAGCGTACCTCTCACAAGTCTTCTGTATGGGCTGGGGCCATGAGGCTTTGGAATTGGATCTGCTGCCACGGTAGCCTAGTAATGCAGCCTTGCCTGCCAGGTTGTAAGGGGAATCAGGGGTGCTGCTCCTTGTCCAACAGTGGGGGCAGGGCAAGGAGGAGAAAGGCCATGCCAAGGTTAGAACATCTGTGAGAGCCAAAGCTTTCAACAGACTTTTCTTTGATCTTTACCAAAATTTCCAAAGAAACCTAAGGGGAGTCTGACAGTACACAAGAGGTTATTTCCTTTGTTAATCCTTGCACAACTGGCTTTATTTCCTTCTTAGCTAGAGAACTCATCCACTTGAAATACATTCAGAAACTACTGAAAGTAATAGAATTGCTCAATCAGGGCTGTAGATATTAATTTTTAAAAAGATTTATTGTATTTGAAAGGCAGTTACAGAGGAGAAGGGAAGAGAGAGAGAGAGAGATTGAGAGAGATCTAGGTCTCCCTGTGGGTGGAGGGGTCCAAGCACTTGGGCCATCTTCCACTGTTTAGTAGGCACATTAGCAGGAGCTGGACTGGGGGAAGTAGAGCAGCTGGGACTCGAACCAGCACTCATATGGGATGCTGGCAGTGCTGCAGCAGGGGGCTTAACCTGCTGTGCCATGACCCCAGCCCCAAATGCAAATTTAGTAAGGAAATTTTCTGAGTCAACTTCTGTGCTTGAAGAGTAAGGGTAGCTCCTCTAAGAACCCTTTAGAAAATCAGCTACACATATTCATTTTTACCTGATTCATCCGAGCAATCGCCACAGTCATTTCTTGTGTCACACACCTTGTCCACATATATCCAAGTCTTATGGCTGGAACACTGGAATATGAAGTTTTGCGGGAGACTGTTGGGCATTTGGCCTCTTTTGGACAAAAGCATTATTGCTACTAGAAAGCACTGATGCATGATGAGGTTTTAATGACCATTCTGCATGTCCACTGTTAACCACTGGCCGCTATTCCCGTAACTGTGACGACCTGCCCCTCTCACCGCAGTAGGCGGCAGACTCATCCTCGCCATCACTGCAATCTGCCTTGCCGTTACAAAGTGTGGACGGGGGTGGGCACGTAGTGAGGTCCTCGCACAGGAAGCCTGGGAGCTGGGGAGCTGCTTTACACGGCCGGCGTGGTACATCTGCAGGATTTAGGAGACACATGCCGCGTGTTCACCCACGCACCCAGGAGAGTGAACTCCCAGCCTCACTAATGGACCACCGGCCCCCCTCCTTCCTCCTCTGCTTCTTGCCATGGTTCTTTCCCCATTAGTTCGTCTCCCCCTTTTCTTTTGTATTCTCTCTCATTCTCCTAGGCTTTCTTAGCTTGCATTTGGGGCAACACCTCTGGCATCTGGACATGTTCTGGTTGAGAGACAGCACAGAAGGTGTGTGGGAGGGAGTCCACAGGCCAGGTGTGGATGGAGCCCTCTCCCTTATATGTTTTGCTGGAAAGGAGATTGAAGGGGACTTATCACACCCATGTCTTGGGGATTCTGTGAGTTAAATCGATTTTATTAAGTGCAATGAATCTACCCTCTCAGAACTGTGATGGCACATGGTCAGAATAATATGACGGTATTTTTTTTCCCTTTTTATTCGAAAGGCAGAAAGATACACAAGGAGCTGTCATCACTGGTTCAC